ATACATATTAAAAAAAAAAAAAGTCATGGACCGACCAGCCTGGGTGATACAGGGAGACCCTGTCACCAAAAAATCAAAGCAAAACAAAACAGTCATGTTCTGAGTCTTTAACTGTCAGGCACCAGAATGAAAAATATTTACTTGTGCCAGACCCTGCTGCTATTAATATCTTCACGTGATATCCTACTGACTTCCCACAGCTGTGTAAGATGGCTGCCCTTGCCCGCGTTTTGCAGAGGACCGTGTTGAGCGCAGCAGATTTATTCATTCCCACAGGGTCTCTAGGACACCAAACTTTTTTTTTAGGAGTAGAATTTTTGTGCGAAAGGACAAGTAGGAACGGTGTGGACTGCCTGACCGACCAACAGGAACTCCTTGAAGGCCTTCCTAGCACCTACTTTGTGTTCAGCACCCTCTGCCGGCCACTGCCCCCTGCGCCCGGTGCTCGAATTTGAGAGTCCCCCCCCCCCTCCCCACAGGCAAGCCCTCGGCGCCGGCTGTGGGTGCCCTGGGTGCGCGTTACCGTGGAGACGGGCGCGCGAGGCAGGCGCGCCTCCGCAAAGGCGGAAGTCAGTTGTGGAAGCGCAGGAGGCCATGTTGGGACAGGGCAAGAGGGGCGGGACTGGTGAGACCAAGCGACGGTTGACCGGTTTTAACCAAGTGACTGGTACCGCGGGGCGGGGAGAGGGCGGTGCCACCGGGAGGAGGGGATGCCGGGGACGGGGAGGGGTTAGGGAGGGGAAGGGAGGGGATTGGCGAGGAGGGGAAAGCCAAGGGAAAGACCTGAGTGAGAGTCGTGGGACCTGGCAGAGGAGGGAAGGGAGAGACCGGCGCGGGAAGGAGAAAGGGCAGGGCGAAGAGCAGGGAGCGGTTAGAGAAGCGGGGTGATGAGCAGGGGCAGCGCTAGAGGAGGCGGGGCGTAGAGCAGGTAGGTGTCAAGGGCATGGAAAGCGGGGCTGAGAAGAGGAGGGGAGAGGTGTTGCGGCACGAGAGGAAGGCGAGGATCGAGAAGGGGTTGACTAAGAAGCTAGCGCCAGCGTGGAACGAGGAGGTGCGAGGGGAGGAGAGGGCGCGGGGCAAGGAGAGAGAGAAAGGAGAGGAGAGGTCTCCTGGCGAGGGGAAGGCCAGTGGCGAGGAAAAATCCAGAGGCCAAGAGACGACCTCTAGCGAGAAGGGGTGGGGCGAGGAGCCGGCGCGGGAAGAACAACTCGCTAAGGACCAGGGGAAAGGGCGGGGCGATAAGGAGCGGGTGGTGGAGAAGGGGCGGGGCGAGGAGCAGGCCCCTAGCAAGAAGCAGGCACCTGGACAGGAGGAAGGGCGGGGAGAGGACCCGGAGAGGGCCGAGATTAGGTACAGAACCCGGTTCCTGGTCAGGGTCAAAGAGAGGAGAAACGGGCGGTGCGAAGAGAAGTTGGGGGGCAGGGCAAGAAGTGGGTGCGGAGCCAGGTGGAAGTACAAGGGTGCGATCGCAGACAGGAGCAGGACAGGGGAAAATAGGAGAGGCTCTGCCAAAGCGAGAAACAGAAACCGAGAGCGGGTCAAGTGCAGGGGTGGAATACAGAGAGCAGGCAAGGGCAGGGCAAAGTTAAGGGGAGCGACGAGGAGGCGGGGCGAAACGAGGCGCAGGAGCAGGGGCGTGGTCAGAAGCATCACTCGGGGTTGGGCCCGGAGTCATAGCAGAGGTGGGACCCACAAGGGGGGCAGGGCCGGAGCCAGAAGCAAAAGCAGGGGCGGGCCCAGGTGTAGGGGCGGGGCCAAGGCCAGGGCGGTGTCAGGAGCAGGGGCGGGGGAGGCAGTAGTGGAGGGGCCAGAAGGTGGAGCACAAGTGGGGCCAGGTGTAGGGGCGGGGCCAGCAGCCCAAGCAGAGGTGGGGCCAGAAGCAGGGGCGGGGTCAGAAGCCCAAGCAGGGGTGGGGGCAAGGGCGGGACCAGAAGCCCGAGCACAGGCGGGGCCAGGGGCAGGGGTGGGGCCAGAAGCAGGGGAGGAGCCAGCAGCCCAAGTGGAGGCGGGGCCAGGAGCAGGGGCGGGGCCAGCAGCTCAAGCAGAGGCAGTGCCAAGGACCGAGGTGGTGGGAGTCGCAGAAGTGGGGTGGGATCTCAGAAGTCGGCTCGGGAGAGGTATCCTGCGCCCGGGTGTTGACCCCCGCGTTCTCCAGGTTCTAGCCACGTTGTGTGCGGCCCAACCATGTCCTCTGCTGGGCCTGCGTGGCCAAGAGTCCGAGCCCTGCGGGCGCTGTGGACACTGATGGTGGCGCTATCGGCTCCGTGGAGGCTGTGGGCGATTGAGGATATCCAGGAGTGCACCTGGCACGTTGTCCTGAACGAGTTTAACAGAATAGGCGAGAATAGCGCGAGCGACCGGTTCTTTGTTCAAGATCTCGTGGATACAGTGGGCGGCGTGTTCCGTATGCTGGTGGACTCAGCCATCGATCCAGACGAGGTGAGGGGACCAGGGTCAAGCGAACTACAGGGGTCCTGAACCCGCACCTCGTTAATCTTTGGACATTTTGCCCAACCTCTCCTTTCAGAAATACCTGGGCTTCCCTTACTACCTGAAGATCAACTACTCCTGCGAGGGACAGGTGAGTGGGTGCAGCATGGGTGGGCTCATTCTGTGAGCCTCAGTTTCCCCATCTCTAACATTTTAATAGTGGTAGCACCATCCAACACCAAGGCTTTAAGGATTCAAGAAGATTATCTGTGTATAGCTCCCAGCATCTCACGAGGCACCTAATAGATGCTCAAGTGAGCTTTTTTTGGCTGTATTTTTAATTGAAATATAATTCACCATAAAAGTCACCATTTTTAAAGTGTACAGTTCATTTTTAGTATATTTACAAAGTGGTGCAACCATCACTACTATTTTATTCATTCCAGAACATTTTTGTCATCCCAAAACCCTGTACCCATTAACAGTCACTCCCCATTCCATTCCCCTCTTCCTTCAGCCCCTGGAGACCACAAATCTACTCTCTGTCCTTAAGAATTTGCCTATTCCGAACATTTCATGTACCTGGCTGAAATCATATAATATGTGGCTTTTTGTGTCTAACTTCTTTCACTTAGTATGTTTTCAATGCTCAATCATGTTGTAGCAGGTGTCAGTACTTCCTTTTATTTATTCATTAGGCCAGGCGCAGCGACGCACACCTGTATCTTAGCACTTTGGGAAACTGAGGCAGGCAGGAAGATCACTTGAAGCCAGGAGTTTGCGACCAGCCTGGGCGACAGAACGAGATCCCGTCTCTATAAAAATAAAAACAAAAAAATAAAGGATTTTTCTGTCACCCAGGCTGGAGTGCAGTGGCCCAATCATAGCTAACTGTAACCTTGAATTCCTGGCTCTAGTCATCCTCCTACTCCAGCCTTCCACATAGCTGGGACTACAGGTGTGCGCCACCACGCCCGGCTATTTTTTCTACTTTCAGTTTAGATGGGGTCTCGCTCTTGCTCAGGCTGGTCTCAAACTCCTGAGCTCAAGCAATCCTCCCGCCTTGGCCTTCCAGAGTGCTAGGATTACAGGCGTGAGCCACCAGGCCCGGCCTTGAGTTCATGCTTACATATGGTGTGAGGTAGGAGTCCAACTTTTACGTATGAATATCCAGTTGTCCCAGTACCATTGGTTGAAAAGATTATTCTTTCTCTATTGAATTGTCTTGGCATCTTTGTCAAAAAGCAACTGACCATAAATGTAAGAGTTTATTTCTGGACTCTATTCTATTCTCAAAGTACTGGACTGTGCCAGTACTACACAGTCTCGATTGCTGTAGCTTTGTAGTAAGTTTTCAAATCAAAAGTTTGGGTTTTCCAACTTCTTTCTTGTTTTTCTGGATTGTTTTGGCGCAGGTAAGCTTTCTGAGGACGATAGAAGGTTGTGGTCCGGAACTGAAATTCTGGAGGTGGCAGACCTGGGTTTGGATGTGCCATTGACTAGCATTTAGTTGAAGCAAGTACAGCGTGGTAGTTAGTCCTCTGGGCTCTGGATTCAGATTCTAGCTCTACTGCATAATAGCTGTGTGACCTCAAGCAAGTTACTTAACCTGTCTGTGCCCCAGTTTCCTCATCCTTAACAATCATAAAATGATAAAATACATGTGAAGCAGTTAGCATGGCCTCCGGTTCATAGAGAGGGCCCAGTGAATGTTGGAAAATACAATGGTGAACAAAATGGTCAGGTTTTTCTTGTGGATTCAATCTACCAGAGAAGCAGACAGTAAAATAATTTCTGAGGAAATTAACATGAGGCCATATGTTAGAGAGGAGGGGGACACTGTTTTAGTGGGGGAGGTTGGGGAAGGTCTCTCTGCAGAGGCTTGAGGAGAGACCTAAATGATGAAAAGGGGCAACTGTAAGGAGAGCCAGGCAAAGCATTCCAGGCCTTGGGAACAGCCAGCACAATGGCCCAGAGGTAGGAAAGAGGACAGTGTGTGTGAGGAACCGTGGAGAGGCCTGTGTGGCTGGATCGCCGTGAGCCAGAGGGAGTGTGGGAGGAGAGAGGTCAGGGAGGTGACGGGCGAAGATTTTCAGGGCCTCATGGGCCGCGGTGAGGACTTGGCTTTTACCCTGAGTGAGAAGCAGCCAGAGAAGGCTCTGAGCAGAGGAGGGGTGTGACCTGCCTCAGGCCTTCGCAGGCTGCCCCTGCCACGTGGGAGGGAGGCCAGGAGCAGGCAGGCAGTGAGGAGGCTGCCGCATTGCCCAGGCAGGGGACGAGTGGGGACTGGACCAGGGTCGCCCTGTCTGGGAGGAGGTCCCCACCCCACCAGCACCTGGTCCCCCGTAATTGGGAACCCAGAGGCAGGGCCAGAGATAGGTGTAGTTGGCAGGATTGAGAGGAGCTTGGCCAAGGATGAATGGTTGTGCAAATGTACCTGTTACATCCCCTGCCCCATCCCACAGCCCACGCACCTCCCTTAGCGGTCCCGGTGCAGCCTTCTTTCGGGAGAGCCTCTGGGCCTTTGCTCGTGCTGTTCCATACAGCTGGAACATCCTTCCTCTCCTTCCCTCCTTCCGTCTGCGCCCAGCCAGGATCCTGCCTCTCTGGGAGCCTCTCTGTGGATGTCCTCTCGCTCTCTTCTTCAGTCCCTTTCCGTCTACCTGCCCCATCCGACTCACCGCCAGGGCCAGAACCTGGCTTTCCTCTGACGGGTGGGGGTGGCAGAGCGTCTTCTGCAGCGGCGAAGCCCACCTTGACAGTGGCACTGGGTACACCTGGAGCGGGGAGAGGCTGCCAGCAGTTCTGGGTATCAGAAACCTTCCCACCTTCACATCTATGCCCATCGCATGCTGCCCTTGCCTGTGCGTTCCCCGCATGCACACTCTGTCTGACGACCCTGGCTCTGGAGTCACCTCCTCCAGGAAGACCTCCGACTCCCTCCACAGCCCCTCGCCCCTCTGCCCCTCTCCTAGCCTGGCGCGTCCGCAATCCCAGCCCCAAACCTAGACCACGTTCTCCAGCCGTCCAAGGTGGAGCGTGCTGTCCCTACCCAGCCCAGGAAGACAGGCTACTAACGGGAGGCTCAAGGTGGGGGTTGCCCAGAGGCCATCCTGACACACCTGTGGGCCATCTCACCCTCAGCCCTCCGAGGACCTGGTCCGCAAGGGCCACCTGACGGGACTAAAGCCTCTGGTGCTGGTCACCTTCCAGTCCCCAGTCAACTTCTACCGCTGGAAGATAGAGCAGCTGCAGATCCAGATGGAGGCAGCCCCCTTCCGCAGCAAAGGTGGGCCTGGGGGACGTCTGGAGCAGCCACACCTGGCAGGGTGGTGGGGTTGCGGGGGGCCTCAGTGTAGCCCATGACTGGGGGAGGTACAGGGAGGCCTAGATGGGGCCACACTGTGGGACCCATGGCCTGGAAATGGGTGTGGGGAGTTGCAGGGAGAGCCCAGTGTGGGCTGTGGCCTGGAGGGGGCCACTGGGAGGCCCCGACAGCTTCAGTGCCCACTGCCACCCGGCAGAGCCGTGCATGGCGGAGGAGGTGTGTGTCATGAGCTGGTACACGCCCATGCCCATCAAGAACGGCAGCGTGGTCATGGACGTGCACATCCGCAGCAATGGCCTGGGGCCCTTCGTTCCAGATAAAAGGTGCCTTTGCCCAGTTCTGGGAGGAATTCCTAACCCCGGATCCCCAAAGGAACCTGGGGGAGACCCAAGGGGTGGAACAGGGGAGGTGGCTATGAGCTGTGGCAGGAGCCCCGGAAACTGGGATCCTCACCTGCGCCTGCCCCGCTCCTGCCGCCAGGTTCCAGGTGAACATCAACGGCTTCCTGAAGAGAGAGCAAGACAGCGCCGTCCGCTTCACGGTGGGAGAGGAGGTGAGGGCCGGGCAGTGGGAAGGGGAGGAGACGTGGGTTAAAGACGGTCGTCTGGGCCTTGGGCTGGGGCCCTGACTGCTCCCGAACCAAGTGGCAGATCCCATTCACGGAGCACTTTCTCCACGCCAGGCCCGAGGTGAGGTGCTTTACTAAATGCACGTTCGTGGCAAGTCTTCACGGTCACCCTGCGAGGGGAGGTGCTCACATGCCCATTTCATTTCATTTCATTTCATGTTTTCAACCATACTGCGGGGACATACCTCACGTGCCCATTTTAAAGAGGAGAAAACTGAGGCCCCAAAGGGATGGAACCATTTGCATGTACCCATGGAAGGCAACTGGAAACTGTCTGCCTAACTCCTGTGTCCACGTTCTTAATCACGGTGCATTCATTCATTCATTCATTCGTTCAGCAGGCACTTATCGAGCACACACTGTGGCATCACGGGGACACGGCGGTGAACGCAGAGACGCAAATCCCTGCCCTCCCAGAGCTGGTGTCCTAGCGGGAGAGAGGGCGGCAAACTGCTAAACGTGAACAGCGAGTACATCCTGCCCCTCCCTGGCAGCTCACGGACCTGAAGCCCCAGTACTTTGTGAACATGTCATCGAGGCCGCTGTGGTTCACCGTGGACCAGTCACCCGTGTTCATCCTGGGCGGCATCCCCAACGAGAAGCACATCCTGATGAGTGACACCAGCTTCAAGGACTTCTCTCTCTTGGAGGTGAGTCATGCAGGGCAGATGGTGGGCCTGGGGCCACAGAAGGGGGTCCCCAGAGACTCACCGGTCCCTATGAGAGGCCGACAGCATGAAGGAAAAACACGTGCAGCCAGAGGGCCTCGGTTCAAATCCTGGTTCTCCCACCTCCCGGCTGTGTGACCTTGGGCAAGTCACTTTACCTGCCTGGTCTTAGATTCCATTCTGTAAAATGGGAATAATATTAATATTCACTTCATAGAAACATTTTGGGGCAATATAAGTTAATAGTTTCCGTAACAAATGGTATCTATGCACCCTATTACCTTCTACACTCCGGAAAATTCTGAATCGTGATAGACAGCTGGCCCCAAGGGTTTCACATCAGGCATTGGAGCCTGCATTATCCCGAAATGGGGAGCGAGTGTCTGAAGTAAGGTTCTGTTGCTTTCAGTGACAGAAACACGTTAGAATTAGTGCAGCGTAGGCAGAGCTCCAGCCCAGGCTGTCTTGCACAGAACTGGGTGTAGTAGGTGCACCCAAATGCCAAGTCTGGGCACAGAGCAGGCTTCAGGCCTGGCTTGATTTGGGGCTCAAATGAGGACTTCAGCTTTCAGCTCCACTTCTTCTGAATTAGCCCCGTTCTCAAAGTGGTTTCTGTCATCCCAACTCCCGGGCCAGAGAAAGGGAGCATCTATTTCCCAAAGAGCATTTAAAAAAAAATTCTGAAATTTATTTCCTTGGTCCCGATTGGTCCACTTGGATCCCATGTCCCAAGCTCATAGCACTCGCCTGTGGACTCAGCACAGGTCATTAGCTCTGCCCTAATGAGGAGGGCAGCTGAGACAAGAGTCAGAAAGGATGGTTCGCCCAGAGTGAAATCAGGATGGCTTTGCCACAGGTGAGGGAGAAGATGCTGGTTATTAATTGTGTCCCAGGTGACAACCATGCACAGCGACAACCCCATAAGATTGCCTTAACCTCCTCCCATCAAGGTCAAAAGCCCCTCTTACCATTTCTGGGACCTCACGTGGGTTAATGTTCTCCTGATCCCCTCTGGCTGCGAATTCCTGTTTCTACTGAATTTCCTTGGTTGGTGGACCATCTTCCTATCCTGTGCGAGCTGTCTCTGTTCTGCGCCAAGTCTATCCGGACATTGTTCAATTTGCATGAACTTCTGACCCAAGCACATCCACAGGGAATGTGTGGTTGGTGGATTTGGACCCTGCCAAAGAGATTTGGAGGCAGAGAAGGGGTTTACATCACAGGACGGAAAACAAGTTCAATTTGAACTTCAGGTATCCTTATTCTTGTTCCTTCTTTTTTTAAGTCATTGAGGAGAAATTCACAAATTTCGCCATTTGAAAGTGAACGATTTGGTGGCATCTAGTTCATTCGCAATACTGTGCTGCCACAACCAGTATCTGGTTCTGAAACATTTCCATCACTCCAAAATAGAACCCCGTTTATTCTTGTTCTTCGCCCGTGGGGATTTCTCCCTGGTGACCGCATCTCACATTTTCCTCTCTCTCCCCCGCTGCCTTGCAGACTGCTCCCGGGAACCCCAGATCCTCCCCCTGCTCAGCTCTCTGCAGCCCTGTGTTGGCCAGGGTTCAGATTTAGATGCTGTAACAAAGAGCCCCTCAAAGGGAACGGATGAGCAGACACTGTTGCTCATTGTCAGGACAGTCCAGAGGTGACGGACACCTAGGCCCTAGGCGTTGACCTCTGTGTGATCACAGCTGGGTCATGCCCACGTCCATATTCCAGCCAGTGGGAGAGGGACAGAGTAGAAGTGTCAGGCAAGACATTTTATTTTAAGCAAGTTTCACTTCCACTCACATTCCATTAGTGAGGAATTAGTCACTTGGCTTCAACCAACTGCAAGAGAGTCTGGGTGGCACATGCCCAGCTAAACTCAATCACCAAAAAATATGGGAAAAATGGGTTTGGGAGCTTACCTAGCCATCTGCCAGAAGTGAAAAAAGAAATTTGCTAGGAACTGAAAAATTCAGGACTTCAGGCTCAGCTGGACCCAGGATTTCAAACAGTATCACCAAGATGGAATTTCTCTCTCCATCTCTTGGACCTGATTCCTCTATATTGACTTTATGCTCAAAACCCTTCTGTCCTCTGGAGCTGAAGACTGCAGGGGCTGCATCTTCTCAGGCCCGTGCCACACCCCCAGCCCCAAAGTAATAAGATCCTTCCACTTGGTGTGGCTCAGGCCACTTGCCCACCCCCATGCAGTCACCGTGGCCAGGGGAACCCAACGCGATCCTTATTAAATTAAATGAGTCAGAACGCTCAAAATTTGTTCCAATAAGAAGTCGGACTGACTTGAAGCTTTTCTTTTCTTCATATACACGAGAAAAGAGGAAATGTGATAGCCTCTTCTGACTTAACAAAAGAAATTTCCAAATATTTCTTCCAGAAAACAGAGGCCTCAATGCAAATATTATTAAGTATGACAACTAATCAAAGTTACAGACTTTTTAGAGGGTATAGGTTTGTTTCCCCACGCAGAGCAACAGTTCTGTAGCCTGTGGGACTTACAAGACTTTTATAGAAATGACATTGTCAAGGACAATTTTATGATACTGAATTGGGTAGAGGAAGTGAGAATGTTCATATTCTCCTTAATTTGCTGAAATTCTCTCAGCAGCAGAACTTAGAGTTTTGCTTTGATTTGCAGTTTTTATTGAAAAAGTTAACAGAAAATTCCTTTTTAGTGGAAAATTTCAATCAGACACAAAATTAGAGAGAAGGGTATAATGAACCCAGCTTCAGTAATTATCAACATTTTGCCTTTGTTTGTTGTTGCTGTCCCACTACTTTTTCTTTTGAAATATTTTAAAGAAAATGCCAGCCATCATACCGTTTGACCTGTAAATTATTAAAGTACCCAAGGACATATCTCTGACCCCTAACACATGAGGACTTTTAAAAAATAAAACCACAGGCCAGACATGGTGGCTCACACCTGTAATCCCAGCACTCTGGGAGGCTGAGGTGGCAGGATCCCTTGAGGCCAGGAGTTTGAGACCAGCCTGAGCAAGAGCGAGGCCCCGTCTCTTAAAAAAAATAAAATAGAGAAATTAGTTGGGCGTGGTGAACCTGTAGTCCCAGCTACTCAGGAAGTTGAGGCAGGAGGATCAATTGAGCCCAGGAGTTTGAGGTTGTAGTAAGCCATGATGACGCCACGGCACTCTAGCCCAGGTGACAGAGCAAGACCCTGTCTTGAAAAAAAAAAAAACCCACAAAATACAATGCCATTATAATACCAAGCAAAATTAGCAATAATCCCTTAATGTCTAATACTACTCCATAGTCAATTTCCCCTAATTATCTGTCTTCCACGTTGGTTTGTTTGAATCAGGATCTGACATAATACATTTGGTTGTTGATCTCCTCAGACTGTTCTCACTAGTAAGTTTGTTCCCCCCACCCCTCCTTTTCCAGGCAATTTGTTTAAGAAAATTAGGTCTTTTTGTCCTATAAAATTTGGCTGTTCCTCTGGCCCCACGTATTAGACTGCTCAGGCTGCTACGACATAATACCACAGACCGGGCGGCTTAGGCCACGGGAATTCAGACTCTCACGGTTTTGGAGGCTGGAAGTTCAAGAGCATTGGTGCCAGTAGGGCTGGTTTCTGACAGCTGTGTCCTCACGTGGCCTCTCTCTGTGTGCAGTGGAGAGAGGAGTGGGGGCGCCCTGATGTCTGTACCCCTTCTTACGAGGACACCAGTCCTACGGGATCGGGGCTCCACCCTTGTGACCTCATTTAACCGTAATCGCCTCTTCAAAGGCCCTGTCTCCAAGTGCAGTCACGTTAGGGGTTCAATATAAGAATTTGGGGGAACACAATTCAGTCTGTAACATCCCACGTTGCCTATGAACTGGTAGTGAGCTCTGGAAACTTGATGAGATTTAGATTCGATCTTTCAGGCCTTCCCGCTGTTAGTGATGCTATTCGTGTTAGTAATCGGCCGGTGGATTCAAGTAGTGTTACCCTGACAGCTAAGTGTCTTCACAATAGAATAGGATCGTTAAGATGTGCCTTGGGCCAAGCATGAGATTTTTTTTTTCTTTTTTGATTGGACAGAGGGCAGCATGGGATGTTCTGTATCCATGTGGGTACAAGCCTGGCATAGGGACTGCTGAGAGCCATTGAGCAGGCTGCGTACCGCCCAGCTGCAGGGGACACACAAAGCCTGCACTGGCTCAGGCCTGGCTCATCTGCTTCTCTGGCCCATATTGGGCAGGTTTGGCCCCCAAAGTGCTGTTACAGGGTGAGCAGGGAGAGCACCCTGGAGCAGCTGCCTGTGTCCATCCCAAGCAGCTGTCAGAGCAGGAGCCTCCCCCAAGGCAGGACGTGGGGACCAAGGCCAAGGCCACCTGCTCACCATCAGCCTCTGCTCCCCTGCAGTTGAGCATTGACAGTTGCTGGGTAGGCTCCTTCTACTGCCCCCAGTCTGGCTTCACAGCCACCATCTACGACGCCATCGCCACCGAGAGTACGCTCTTCATCCGGCAGAACCAGCTCGTCTACTATTTTACAGGCACCTACCCCATACTCCATGACAGCAACCAAGGCAGCGGTGAGGGGCTGTGGCCGGCCCACGCCTGGGGGAGGGCACAGCGGTGAACCCCGCCACTGGAATTGCCATGGGTTCGGGGGGGCGGCAGGGACTTGCCAAAGTCCCGATCACCACTGCCCACCTGCAAGGGACTCCCCTGCCCTGTGTATGCTGGCAAGTGGCTTCCGCCCAGACCTCATGACCCAGCTGTGGGAAGAGGGGTGTGAGTGAAGGCAGGGAGCGGGGAGAAATAGACACGTGCCGAGAGAGATGCAGGGGCAGAGACAGAAAGTCAGGGTTGGGGAGGAGAGAGGCGGAGCGAGAGGACAGCGAGAGAGAAACAGACGGGCTGCCGGGCTGGTGAAGAGGCAAAGCCACGAAGGAGACGGATCAGAGAGCAACAGCACTGTTGATTCAGCCTCATGTTTAAATGATACCAAAGCCCTCCTATTGCTTCTAGGTTTTCCCCCCATCTAAATGAGAAACGTCAGCTTAGAGCATCTCTGAACATTGTAGTGAAACTTACATTTCGTTAGCTAATGCGTGTTCCCAAACTGCTTCGTTTTCTCCTTTCTCGCTCAGAGCACTTGATCAGTGGGGGAACCAAATTAAAATTAGCTTAAGCCAAAGCAAAGGGCAGTTTGTTGGCTTATACAACTGACAGCCCAGGAGCAGGTGGTCTCAGGGACTGTTGGATCCAGGAGCTCACTGCCATTGTTAGACAGTCACCTCTGGCAGGATGCCACGGTGACTCCCAGCCCCACGCAGCAAGTGCAGACTTTTATGCCCCTCAGTAGCCCCAGGAGAGACCATCTCTTTGTTAGTGGTTACAAGCTGGAACTGTCTCTGATTTGCCCAGTTTGGTCACACGCCCAGCTTGAAACCAATCGCTCCAGCTAGAGGAGGGCAAGGGAGGGGTCAGCCCACCCTGAACCTCACCGACAGAGTGTGAGTGAGAGGAATTTTCTCGAAAGCACCTGGTGCCCTCTGCCAAGGGCCCCTGATGCCACACTGAGCAGGTGCTTCACCAAGAGAGGACAGATGAGGCTCGCTAAGGCCAGGGAAACGTGGGGGAGGGACACCGGCCCCAGGTCCAGCCACCTGGGCCTGAGGCCCCATGCCGGCCTCCCTAGGCAGCTGGGTCCGCGTCCTGGCCTCCGAGTGCATCAAGAGGTTGTGTCCTGTGCACTTCCCCGGCAACGGCTCCGAGTACGTAATGGCCCTCACCGCTGGCAAGAATGAGGGTTATGTCCACTTTGGGACCATCACAGGTAAGGGCGGGGGCCTCTGGCAGCCCAAGAGACCCCTCCAGACTCTCACCTCCAAGAATTCTGACCTTGGGCCCTCATTCCTCACCAGGCGCCCTCAGGAGGGGTGCCAGGCTGTGAGTTGGCGGTGGGTGTGTGCATTTGTAGGGGTAGGGTGTATCTTTCAGCATGTGCTTGATTTCAAAGGGCAGAAGCCCAATTCAAAAGTCATTTAAGCACAAAGAATTTGTGGACTTCTATAAATGAAAAGACCAGGGGCCAACTTGGAGCATGGCTGCATCCAGGGGCTCGAAGGGTATGTCATCAGGACCCTGTCTCTTGGCAAGGCCACGTCGCATAGTGATTATGGTAGATTCTGGAGAGAGACTGCTCCATCATCCCATGCTGTGTGCCTTTGGACAGGTGACTTGACCTGTGTGACCTCACTTTAATCATCTACAAAATGGGATGATGATAGTCCTGGCGTCTACTGCATTGGGTGGATACGGAGATTAAATAAGTTGGTATGCACAAAGGCCTTAGAAAGCCTAGGCACATGGTGAGTGCTATGGGGGTTTGTTATTATTAGCCCTGTAATTTGGCTTCGTTTTCAGGTAGCTACTCCTCCCTGGGGGTTAAAGATGGCCCCTAAGATCTTGGGGCTCACATCACCTACCAGTTTGAGTCACCCCAAGAGACTGAGAACAGCCTCTTTCCCATCATTTCTAATGCAAGTCCCAGGGTGCACTCTGACCGAACCACTGTGGGTCACGTGCTCAGACCTGAGCCGAGCACTGTGACCAGAGACAGACATACTCTTACAGGCTAGTGGAGTGACCAAAGGCCAGAGTGAAATCTGCCCCCTGGAATCCCAAGGACTGAAGGCTAGGGAGGCATGAGGGAACAGTTGAGGAGTTGGCTTAGTGGGTGCCACACAGATGGGATGGGGCGGGAAGGGCCTGGGCATGATTCCGCTTTGCTCTGCAGATGGCTACGTGTCCTTTGAGATGCTGCCCAGGCAGTGGTCCGTGTGCGAACAGATAGGAGGTACTCATCCCCTAGATGGGTCTGCAGCAGGAGGGTGGGGGGACGGAGGGTGTGGGAGAGCAGGGAAGGGTGGGAGGGGGTCACAGGATGGGCAGTATCTTCGTGAGGGGCATGGGAGTCACAGGACTGAGGCCACTGGGCCCTGGGGCTTCTCTGGACTCCCCCTTCCCCTCTCAGTTGACAGCTGCTCCATCACCTGGGCGGAATTCATCCCGGGCAACTATTACCTACTGCTGCTGGTGGAGAATAAGTACGTCAACGCCCAGCACGACTTCCAGATGGTTGGCTACAACATAGGTAATCAGGGAGACAAAAGGGACTGGGTGCAAAAAGGCAGGAACCCAGACCATGGACTGTGTTCTCATCCTGAAGGATTTGTGCCCGGCGGGCAGAGGGAGGGAACCGTTGCCATGTCCCACGGTGGAGAACAGGGTAGAGGCTTGGTGGGCTGGAGAAACTGAGAGGAAGCCGATGTGACTGGAACAGAAGGGAGAGGGGAGGGAGCGAGATTGGAGAGGTGAGCAGAAGCCAGATCTGGAAGGCCTTTGTGGCTCACAACAAGGAGATGTGATTTTATTTTACCTGCAGTGAGAACAGGGCCACCATAGGCAGTTGTACAGGCTGTGCACTGCACAAAACCCCTCAGCCAAGGGGTCAGAGGAGACAAGTCCTTTGCTCTAAGAGGATGATATCCTCTCAGAGGCAATGTCTTTTTATAATCCACATGAAGAAACTAAGGGCTAATAACGGGAAGCCACTGGAAGGTTTTATGGGTGATCGGGAAGGGATGACTTGGTCCAGCTTCAGGTTTTGAAAGGTCGGGGCCTCAGGAGATTTTGCTATATTCTCCCCTCCTGTAGTTACTAATGAACTGAAAATCCACTACAAAATCCCAGAATTCATCCCTGAAGGTAGGAGGGGAAGGCAGAGGTGGCCTCAAAAGTGGGGATGGGCCAGGAGGGACCTAGGTGACCCCACCTCACTGTTGTGTCCTCTTTTCTTTTGCCCTGGTCAGCTCGAGGCCTGGAGTTCCTGATGATCCTAGGGACAGAGTCTTACACCAACACCATGATGCTACCCAAGGGCATGTGCTATAACCCATACAACAACCTGCTGTTCATCTGGGGCAACTTCCTCCTGCAGAGGTGGGCCCCCTCCGCCAGGCAGGCCAGGCATATTCTGCCTCCCCAGCGTCTCTAGGGTGGGGTCCTTTCTGAAGTCACCAGACCTTCAGAGGATGCCCAAGTCTAGAAGTTATCAGGACTCGTGGGGAAGACATGGCCTGGGGTAGTTGGAGCTGGGATGGGGGAAGCCAATATTCTAAAGTTATGGGAGCCCTTTCTTCAGATGAAACCTTATGTGAGGACCCAACCTGTGTGAGCAATAGGAGAGCATTTTCTGGGGACAGTTTAGCATCCTTCCCACCCAGCCACCCTCTCACCCCTCAGGAACCTAGGGGACCCTGAGCCACCTCCAGGGGTGGCTGGCAAACCACCAGGGTGGCCGGATGCTCCTACGTTACGGATGGGGAGATGGAGACTCTAAGGGCAGAAGGTCACCCACAGGGTGTGGGGTGGGGGCAGAAGCTAGGATTCCGGGCTCCCTTTGCATGTTCTCACAAGGCTAGTGGGGAAACTGAGTACATGGTTCCTGGGTTGTGTTAGGCCTGGAGTTGGGGGAAGCAGATATCCCGGATAACCAGCTGTTCTGGCGCCCCCAGCTCTGCATCTCTGCCCCTGCAGCGCTGACATGGCGAACTTCATCTACCTGGCAGACTTCCCCAAGGAACAGTCCATCAGTTACCTGGTTAGATCCTTCCAGGGGGACATGGCTATTGTCACAGAGACCGAGGAGGTGGGCTGCCCTTCCCTTCTCCCTACTCCTTCTCTGCCCATCCCCAATCCCCAGGGGCCTCCCTTCTCCCCCAGTCGGGGTAAATGGGCTAAAGGGAGGGAACACGCTCAGGGACCCTGGGGAAGGGCAGCAGAAGCTCCATTTACAGCAGAGAGAGTAAGTGTCTTTTCCAGCGTCACACAGCAAAGCAAAAGACTTGAGCCATGCATGATCTGATTCCCAGAGGGGGCCCTTGTTCATTCCACTGTGCAGTTCATTTCATAAATACTGAGCACTTACTGTATGCCTGATCCAGTGCTGGGGACTCAGTGGTGACTGAGTCAGCCCTGGGCCCTGTCTTTACAGGGTCACAGTCCAGCTGGGGAGACAGCCTTCCCAGACAGTGACAGTTCAGAGTGCTCAGGGCTGTGGCGGAGAAAACAGTACCTACAGAAGCTCAGGGGAGGGGACCGTGGGTGTGGGCGTCAGGGAGGCTTCATGGAGAAGGCCACATGGGGGGGATATCCTGGAGGCTAGAGGGGATCTCCCGGGTTGGGGCTCAGGAAGGGGAGGTGAGGTCCCCTTCAGATGTGTATGAGGTTGGGCAACAGCGCAGAGATGGGAAACCGAGGCCGAGGCAATGGTGAGAGACTAGAGGCTGCAAAGAGTGAGAAGAAAAAAGAGGCCTCAGCCCTAGGCACCCCAGCTTTGAGGGACTGTATAGATTAGGAACGCTTGGGTTGCAAGTAACAGAAACGCAGTCGTGGCAGTGAGGGCTGGACCCAGAGGGGGTTGGGCTCTGGGAAGTAGAGACAGCACTATGGAGAAAGGAATGGGGGCTCGCCTGGTCCCAGCTAGAGGTGAGCTCCCAATCCTGACCCCTCAAACAACGGGGCCGTCGTCGGGCAGAGGGAGAGGTGGGCTCAGGTCCCCGTGGCTCTCATACACACACCCGGCTGTCGTACCTTCAGATCTGGTACCTTCTGGAGGGCAGCTACCAGCTGTACAAACTGTTCCCGTCCAGGGGGTGGGAGGTGCACCTCAGCCTGCAGGTGATGCAGCGGTCCTCCCTCTACTCGCCCAGCGAGACCATGGTGACCCTCTTCTACGAAGATGGCAGATTAAAGCAGGTGCTGGGTGGGGGCTGTGAGGGGACACTGGGGTGCCACAGGATGGCTGACACCAGCTCACTTGGCCCTGCCTTGCCCCTGCAGCTGGTGTACCTTGTAGAAAACCAGCGGGGCCGGCTGGTCAAGAGGCCGGTGCCTGTAGAGACGCTGCTGATGTACATGCAGTACAACCGCTACGACTTGCAGCGGCAGGGGTGAGAAGACCCTGGTCCCCAGCGGCAGTCTGAGGACTCCAGGAACTGTCCTCATGAAGCTGCCATTCTTGAGGGGGGAACCGAGCCAACCCCAGAGGACCTCAGGCCTGTGATGGGGGGAGCTCAGCACCTGCAGAAGCTCAAAGGATGAGCACCACGCAGCCTGGGGGGAGGGTGCATGAGGGAGGGCTTCAGGGAGGTGCCTGAGCTGTGACAAGAAGGGCAAGGGAGAATTAGCCAGGTGATGAGGTGGGGAAGAGTGTTGAGACAGGGGGAAGCACATGTGCGAAGGCTCCGAGGAGGAAAGGAGATCCGGGTTGAAGACCTGTTGCAGAAAGAGCGCAGGGGTGATGGGAGCAGGGACAAGGTGGGACTGGTGGTCATAGGAACTTGGGCTTCATCGTGAGCGTCCTGGGGAGCCAGGATGGGATGAAGGGGAGGGACTACAGGGTCAGAATTGACCGTGGTCAATACTGATCCTTCTGGTCACCTGCAAAGGGTGGATCAGAGCAGGGAGGCACATGGAGGTAGGACCAGGGATGGGGCCAGGACCGGGCGCTGGGGTGGCAGGAGAAAGGGGGAGGTGGTCAAGTAGACTGGCAATTGGGGACTGCCCGTGGAGGTGGGGGGACGTCCAAGGGGATGTGTTCTGAGGACGCTGGGCACCAGGGCTGAAGCCCAGGAGGAAGGTCCGGGCTGGATTAGATTTGGGAAGTCGCAGCACAGAGGTGGCAAACAGTTTTGCGTCCCCCACTGCCGCTGCCCAGGAGCCACTTGACGCTGTCCTTCGCCAACCTCTGCCCCTTCATGGAGATGAACCTGCGGGGCCTGCCCAACCCACAGAGGTACACGCGCCAGGAGCGCTACCGGGCGCGGCCGCCGCAAATCTTGGAGCCCTCGGGCTTCCACAGCGAGAACTCGCTGGCCGTGTACCAGGGCCTCGTCTACTACCTGCTCTGGCTGCACTCCAAGTACGACAAGGTGGGCGCCTCGCGGCGGGCGGGGCCGTCCCGGGGCTGCGGGAACCGGCGTGGCGGGCGCGGGCGCCGGAGGGGGCGCCTGGCTGGAGCGGGGCTGTGCGGACAGGGCTTTGGGGCAGTGGCCGTCTTGGGTAGAAAGCAGGCGGCCCGGGTGTGCATCTTCTGTTCGGGTTAGGGGCTGGAAGTGGGCTAGAAAGGGGTCTGGGGAGGCCGCTTGCCTGGGGCTGCCCCCTCCCGCGTCCGCTCACGGTGCCCGGCGGTCCCTGCAGCCGTACGCGGACCCGGTGCACGACCCCACCTGGCGCTGGTGGAAGAACAAGAAACACGACAAGGTACGAGCAGAGAGTTGGGAGTCGGGGAACGGGCGGCGCCGGGACACCCCTCGCCGTCACCCCCGGCGCCGACTGTGTCCCCCCGTCGGGTCCGCCAGGATTACTATTTCTACCTGGCGAGCAACTGGCGGAGCGCGGGAGGCGTGCACATCGACATGGACAGCTACGAGAAGATCTACGACCTCGAGCCCGAGTCCGAGCTGCCCGAGCGCATTTTCCTGGACAAGGGCGCGCAGTACAACTTCTCCATCTTCATGACGGCGCAGGGCCGCCAGTTCCAGACGCCCCTGGCCCCCGGTGCGTGGGCGGGGCCTGCGCGCGGCCGAGGGGCGGGGGCTGCGTCCCAGGGGCGGGGCCTGAGCCTGTCCGTCCCCCCCCGCCCGGCAGAAGTCACCTACAGCCTGCGCAGCCCGGTGAGCGTGGGCGTGGTGCTGGCCGACCCCAGCTGCATCGAGGCCACAGTGAAGCCGCAGGTCCTTATCAATCGCAAGTCGGTGCTGTTCGAGGTGAGGCCCGGCGGGGAGGGGGGTACCAGAGTGGGGGCGGTGATAGCACGAGCTGTTACTCCATCCTTCTGAGTAGGAAGTGGAAGTCGCCTTCTCCTGCCAGTCCCCACCACCGGCCCCGGCTGTGGGTTATCTGAACCGTCCCTGGGTCCTTGGGCAAGCCTGTTCACCCTTCACTTATGCCTCTCCAGATTGTGCTCAAGGAGAAAGAGTTTTGCTATGACCAGGGCCTTAGTGGTCACCACCTCCTGAAGACTTCCCTGAGTGTCAAAGTACGGTCCAGCCCTGGAGGGGGAGGGACGCAGGATCACGGGAAAGACTGGGCTCGTGGGGCACACCGTCATCACCTGCTCCCACCCCCAGGTGCTGGGTTCTTCCGGGCACTGCTTCCAGAACACGCACCAGGGGCCCCGTATGCAAGTATTGGAGCTTGGGGCCCTGGGAGGGGAGGGTCGAGGTGGGGTTTCAACAGGGCTGGTTCCCGGTGCTCCCCCTGGGAATCCCACTAATGTATCATCATTTCCTTCCTCCACCCACCCACCCACTCCTTTCATCCATTCACGTTTTGAGCAAGAGCTGCCTTCACAGTTGTGTAGGTTGCACGTAAGCGTGCACGTTCCTTCTGATACTTTTCTGCGGGGGGCAGTAAAGTGTCTGAGGGCTAGGGCCTCTTTCCAGTTGGCACAAAGGTGGTGTGACAACCAGCTTGGCGCTCCGTTCACACGTTGCTCACTCACGCGTTCTTTGTTCACGCCTTTGGGTCCTTGGTTCTTCCCTTGCTTACACGTGCAGTCTCCGCTCTGCGCAGAGGCAGACCCTGAGGCTCAGAGAGGCACAGATACCCACTCGGAGTAGCCCAGGGAGCTGCTTAGCGGCAGAGGAGGATCTGACGCAGAGTCCTCGTCCGCACCCACCTGCGTGGCCACTACCCAGCAGATGCTGGTGCTCCTCCCTCCCGGCTTGGAATGATGCTGGGCACTAAAAAGCGTGTTGTAAAAGCCCCTGACTCCTTGGATTGCATGAGATTTTATGTGTTAGACTGAAGAAACAACAAGGAGCAGGTGTGACTGGATCAGGGCAGGAAAGTGGAGGGAGGAGGGCAGAGCAGTGAGCGGGGAGCAGAGCATGCGGGGGCTTTGTGGGCCATGGGCGGCAAGCTCTGCAGGGGAGTTCCCCAAGCAGAGGAGGGACTCAAGGGTTCGCAAGGTCCATCTGGCTGCATGGGGGAAACAGACTGAAGGGGGAGGGTGGAACAGGGACACCAGGAAGGAGACAAGATTGGATAAGACAAGAGTGGGGGCAAAGAAGTTGGAGAGAATGGGTGAGTTCTGGATCTCTTTCGAAGGCTAGGAATAACAGGATATCCTGATGGGCAGGATGGGGGTGTGTGAGAGAAGGTTCCAGGCTTTTAGCCTGACAGCTGGAGGGATGGAGGTGCCATTAGCCGGGTTGAATCTGAGATGCCCATTACCCCTCCCAGTGAGTGAGGGGCTGATGGGTGTGAAGTCCCACACTTGGCATGGGAAGCACTTAACCTGTGGCCGCTGACCCCCTCCCCAGCCACCAGCAGGCACATGCCACAGTGTCTAGATGCTCATGTCCCTTTGACAAATGGGCGAAACCCTTGTGCCCTCTCCCTGAAATGGGCCAAGGGGCTCTTCATTCGGAAGACAATGTCAAGGGGCTTCCCTGCTCCCTAACACCCACCCCTCATACATCCCATGCTCCTGCAGGCCTAATATTTGAGAATTCAGGTCCAACTTCAGACCTATACAGTCTGACTAGGAGTTGGGGTTCCATTGGTGTAGCTCTCGGTGGTTTTGTATGTCTTATTCTAGAGGCAGCTGCAGCTAACCTGTCTGTTCCAATCCCAACACTACCACTTACCAGCTGTGTGGCCTTGGATGCTTAATAAGTCGCTTGACCTCTCTGCATCTCACTTTTGCCATCCCTAAAATGGGGATATTAATAGTCTCTACCACACAGGAGTATTTTGAGGATTAAATAGATTTGAATGCATAAAGCTCTTAGAACATCACCCAGTGCCTTGTACATGGTGAGAGCTACCTAAGTGTTTGTAGTTATTAAAAGTATTGTTTAATGATGACGATGATCATCGCATTGCTCCCGGTGGTGAGGGTGAGTCAGGCCGATAGTGAGTGGTGGTGTGTGTAGGAGGCGGGTTGTCCTCCCTGCCCCCCTTCCCAGTCTGGCAGGATCTGAGGAGACCCTGGCCACCCCCAAGGCGAGGCTTTTCTCCTCCCTCTCAGGGCAACCTGATGTTACCTGTGCTTATCGGCTGCCCCCCAGGCAAGCGCCTGGCCTTCGACATTACCTACACGCTGGAGTACAACCACCTGCAGAACAAACACTACTTCGACTGCGTGCATCTGGACCCCGAGATGCCCTGCTTTCTCTACCGTGACAGTGTGTGTCCAGCGCCTTCCCCCCCAGAGAGTTCACTGCCCTCTTGCCCCACCGCTTTGCCCTCTCCCTGCCCGCACACCTCCCCACGGCCCACTCATGCTCTGCTCTTGCCCTTGGTCCTCCACCGCCTCTCTTTTCCTCCCCTCTCCGCCCTCCCCTTCTCCGGCCAAGCTAATTTCTTCTGGTCTTAACCCCCTCCGACTCCACAGTTTTCTACCCCTTCTTCTTGATTCAAGATTTGGTGACGGGAGACTCTGGCAGTTTTCAGGGCAGGTAAAGGCGTGGCTGGCCTTCGGTTAGGGCAGGTGGCAGGGCGGGAGGAGGGATGCAGGACTCGGACCGGAGGCCCGCGCATGTGCACTTCTGCTCCTGGCAGCTTCGTGCTGAAGGTGGTGGGCGGCGGGCCCACACTGAACAGCATCAGGGACTACAGCAAGGAGGAAATCTACCGCTACAACAGCCCCCGGGACAAGTAATCACTGTGGGCCCCCACCCCCTGCAACCCCGGCATGGCCTGCCTTTCTTCCCCTGCAGGCCCCCCCCATTTCTGAGCCAAGCAGTTCTCACAGGGGCTGCAAATCCTACCCTCCCCCTACCCTCGCCACCATCTCAGGCCCCACCCACAGTGAGGCTCCTAGGCTCCGGCAAGCAAACTCTTGCCCTGCCCACACATGAGGCCCCGCCCACATAGTGAGGCCACACCCACCCAAGGCTCCGCCCCTGCTCTCCCTGGGTTTGGTGGGGAGGCCGGCCTCTAAGCTGGCAGTCCAGGCTGCACCCGGTCCCCCCGCTGAGATGACCCGGTCCTGTGCAGCACCGAAAGCCTCATCTGGACCACCAGAACCAAAATAACCACCGAAGACATGGCCTTCCACATCATGTCCCATGGGAGCTCGGGCATCGAGTAAGTGCACCGTCTGGCCATAAGGCCCCCACCTGCCCACAATCCATAGGGCCTGCCCATCCTTTCAGCTTCTGGGAGGCCTCTTGATCCCCAAGCCAAACACTGACTGCCTTTGTGTTCCTCAAATGGGGATGGCCTTTGCACAAGCTGAAACTCTGCCAGGAATGCTTGGTCCCTGCCACTGTCTCATCAGGCCTTAGTTCACATGCCCCTTTGTCCAGGAGGACTTTTCTGCTTCCAGATGGAACAGTCATTTCCTCTTGGCTCCCATGGTCTCTTGTGCCTCCCCCATCCTGGCCCTATAGCTCTGCCGGTGCCCCCTACCCTGACCCCAACTCCTCTTCCCATGCCCTCCATCCCAGCCCACCCCTCTGCCCGTGACCCCCAAGTCCCAGCCCTGACCACTGTGGCCTGTCACTATCTCGTGTGGAGTCTATCTGCCTTACAGGACCAGATCCTGCATAGACTCAACATAGTATTCATTGACTGAGAGAATGAACAAATGAATAAATTAATCCATGGTAGTCATTTACTGACATTTGAATGGAGGTATTAATGAATAAATAAAACTATGGAGGAACAGATTAGTACAGGGGCTCAATAGCTATTTTTGTTCAGTGGTAGGAAAAAATGATGCCCTGAGCAAATGAAGGCAGTGAGTGAACAAATTAACCCCCTTGCACCTGGTCAGTATTTAACCTGTGTTTATTGAAAAAATGAATAAAGGAGAGAATAAATGAAAGATGTGAGTTTGGACCTAGTAAGTGCTCAAGCTGTATTCCTGGCATGAAAGAATAAAGGTAGCGGCCGGGCGCGGTGGCTCACGCCTGTAATCCTGGCTCTCTGGGAGGCCGAGGTGGGTGGATTGTTTGAGCTCAGGAGTTCGAAACCAGCCTAAGCAAAAGCGAGACCCCATCTCTACTAAAAATAGAAAGAAATTAATTGGACAACTAAAAATATATAGAAAAATTAGCCGGGCATGGTGGCGCATGCCTGTAGTCCCAGCTACTCAGGAGGCTGAGGCAGGAGGATCGCTTGAGCCCAGGAGTTTGAGGTTGCTGTGAGCTAGGCTGACGCCACGGCACTCAGTCTAACCCGGGCAAAAGAATGAGACTCTGTCTCAAAAAAAAAAAAAAAATAAAGGCAGCAAGGAATGAACGAGTTGGCACATAACAGGCACACAGTTCGAAAGCTGCATGGATGCGTAGTAACAGACGCATTGACATGTGGCCTGGTGAAGCAGGAGGGAATGAACGAGTAAACAGTCTGTTGCAGGGCAGGTGTTCAGCAAGCATTATTGGAAGAATGAATGCAAGAATGAATGAATGTGGGAAGTTGGTGCTCACCGTGAGTGTGTGGGGTAGGGGAAGAAATCGGGTGAGCACATACTAGGCATGGTTGGTAGCACAGGTGCCTGAACTTGGGCTCGCAGGTGGCTGTGTCTGAAGAACTCTCCGTGCTATGACACCATTCCCCAGAGCATCTTCTCCCCTGAATTCTTCTTCAAGGTGTTGGTGAGCAATAGGTGAGCCAGGCCTGTGGCCCAGGTGGGGGTTGGGGGTGTCCCGTGGGGTACCTGACAACTCCCCGAATCCTGGATCCCATCCCCGCAGAGGTGTGGACAACAGCACATACTGCAACTACCAGCTCACCTTCCTGCTGCACATCCACGGGCTCCCGCTCAGCAACACGCGGGCCCTCCTTATCGTCATGGTGAGCGGCTGTCCAGGAGCTGCCCTGCTGGGGGAGCTGGGGGCCCCCAGGCTGCCCACCAACACCTGTTGTATGGTGCCTGCAGGTGTCAGCCAGCATATTTTTGGGCCTGGTGATGTTATACGTCATCTTCTGCCTCATGTGGCCCCTTATGGTTAAGGCCTGCAACATTCTCCGCTTTAAGATCAACAACATCCTTGCCTCAGGAAGCTACTACTCCTATTCCACCTCTTCCAGAATCTCTACAACACTGTCACAAAGCCCTGGGGCCAGCTCCGCGGTGGCACAGGATGAGGCTAAACCTGAACTTGAGCAAACTTTGAAGAAGGAGTGGTTTATCTGAGCCTCTTGCCTGCCCCAGCCCCCACCCACCCTCGCACCTCCCCTGCTAGGCCCATCTTGGAAATGCAGCCTGTCACCAAGCCCAGGCCTTTCTGTTTTGTTTGAATGTTCACTTCTTGTTCAGACTCAAATAAAGCCTCATTTCAGGGCCAGCTGTGGGTCCTCATAAGGGCTCGTTTTCAGTTGGTTTGTACCAACACAGCTGCACCGATCATTAAAATATCAAAGTCCTTCCATGCCGGCTGCTAAACAGTGACTTCTCTGTGTGCTTGTCAGCTCAGCCCCTCCTCAGGTGTCCGAGACCTCCCTGTGGCCAGCAGAATCCTCCAACAACCCAGGCCCATGGCTGTGGCCTCTAGTCTGTTCTGATTGTTCAGTGCCCCAGTTATAACAGTTGTTAAATATTTTGAATGTCAACACCTATCTGGTGATTTAAGGAGGGGACTCTGGAGGGGTGAGGATTTTTATTTTAGTTGTAAGTAGCTAAAATTTCAAATCGTCTACATGAAATGATAATTTATGGGCTTTGTTAATATATGCTTCAGGTACAATTTGATCCAGAAGTCATCAATGTCCACAAGACTCTGCTTCCATTTCTCTGTAGCTTTCCCTGCTCTGCCCGTCTCTGAGTATGGTCTCTGGCCTCCGGACAGCCCCCCTCATCATCTGAGGCTGCACATCCACATGTCATATTGTCCAGAGAAAGAAGGGGCTGGGTTCCAACATTCCCAGCCAAAAATACTGCCAGTCACTCTGATTGGATGGATTTGGATCATAAGATCACCACCCTACCAATCACACTGCCAGAGGGATGGGAACCTCTATTAGTTTGAGCCAATCAGAGCCCACTCCTGGAGCTGAGGGTAGAGTCAACCCTACCCTAATCTCTTGCTAATGTGCTGGGAAGAGCAGTTTGTATAGGAAAATGTGCTTTCAGGAAGGGGAAAGCAGATTGGACAGGCAAAAAGCAAAGCCTTCATCAGGGTAACGAACACAAACTAAAACACCAGTGAGTCTTTCTTGGTTCTGAGATTGTGAAGGGAGTTCCCTAGTATTTAAATATATTCACATAACCAGTTATATAAATCTAGATATAAAACCAATCTTCAATAGGTTTTCAGGTGGCAATTTACCATCTTTGTGAAAAGTTGAACATTGCTAATCAAGTCCAGTCCTATCTTTAGAAGGAGAAAACAGTGAAACAGTGATAGCATTTACTGAGTTGGAATTATAATACTATCAAAATTAAAAAAAACTGATCATATTCATTTAACAACAAGCTAGTCTTTGTTAAATCAGGAATGTCCAAGAAAAATATTCTGTCATTCATAATCTGAATTCTGGTGGATGAGACCAATTAAATTATATTCCACATAAAAAAGTTATGGGACATTTCTGTTTTATAATAAATAAGGCAGTGGCTAATTATTATTCATTTGTAGCTTTTTTGAGATAAGCTATCAAGTCTGCCCTTTCTGCCTTCTTCTTAGTGCTGGTGAAGGCCATTTTTATCCCAGGGATGTATTTCTTGGGATTCTCCAAATACTCCATCAGTGTATCTTCTCTGCAGGTGTTGCCTTTGTTCTTATTGGTGTCTGTATAAGAGAATCCAACAGCCTGACCTGTCTTCTGCCCAGAGAGACCATGGAGATTTGGCCAAGTGTTGTGCTTGCTTCCCTTTTCCACAGTGTGACACTAGGGACACTTCTAAACAAAAATCTTCTTGCCTTTCTCAACCTCACCCATATTTAATTCTCTCTATCACAATCCCAATGGCAATTTTGCAGAAACAGAAAAACCTAAAGTTCACATGGAATTTCGAGGGACCCCAAATAGCCCAAAATATCTTGAAATAGTCAAAAAAAATTGGAAGACTCACACTTTCTGATTTCAAAACTTACTAGAAAGTTACAGTAATCAAAACAATGTGGTACTGGTGTAAAGACAGACATGTAGGCCTATGTAATAGAATAGAGAGCCCAGAAAAAAAGCTTCATATATCTGGTCAGTTGATTTTTTTGTTGTTGTAGAGATGGGGGTCTCACTATGTTGCCCAGGCTGGTCTCAAACTCATGGCCTGAAGTGCCTCTTGCCTCAGCCTTCCAGAAGTCTGGGGTTACAGATATGAGTCACTGTGCCTAGCTTCAATTGATTTTTGACAAGGGTGTAAATCTCATTCCATGGGGAAGGGACACTCTTCAAACCAATGGTTCTGCGGAAACTATATATTCCAAAAGAATGACGTTGGATCCTTACCTCATGATGTATACAAAATGTAACTCAAAATGGGTCAAATTCCTAAATTTAACAACAAAAACTGTAAAACATAGGGGAAAATCTTCATGACCTGTCATTTGGCAATGATTTCTTAAGTATGACACCAAAAGCACAGGTGACAAAAGAAAAAATAGATAAATTGGATTTCATCAAAGAATTTAAAAGTTTTGTGAATCAAAGGATACAATCGAGACAGTGAAAAGACAACCCATAGAATGAGAGAAAATATTTGTAAGTCATGTATCTGATAAGGGATTAATATCCAGAATATAAAGATCTCCTACAACTGAACAACAAAAAACCAACGACTCAAGTAAAAAATGGGCAAAGGACTTGAATAGACATTTCCCCAAAGAAGATAGATGACTTGCCAATAAATACATGAAAAGATGTCCAATATTATTAGTAATTTGAAAATGTAAAATCAAAACCATATGAAGGGGCCAGGCGCGGTGGCTCATGCCTGTAATCCTAGCACTCTGGGAGGCTGAGGCAGGCGGATTGTTTGAGCTCAGGAGTTCGAAACCAGCCTGAGCAAGAGTGAGACCCCGTCTCTACTAAAAATAGAAAGAAATTAATCGGACAACTAAAAATATATAGAAAAAATTAGCCGGGCATGGTGGTGCATGCCTGTAGTCCCAGCTACTTGGGAGGCTGAGGCAGAAGGATTGCTTGAGCCCAGGAGTTTGAGGTTGCTGTAAGCTAGGCTGACGCCACGGCACTCTAGCCCGGGCAACACAGTGAGACTCTGTCTCAAAAAAAAAAAAACAAAAAACAACAACCATATGAAGGTCTCTACAAGGTGAACTACAAAATACTGATGAAAGAAATCCTTTATGACACAAATGGAAAACATCCCATATTCATGGATTGGAAGAATCAATATTGTTAAAAAATGATTTACAGATTCAATGCAATTCCCATCAAAATACCATCATTTTTCACAGAATTAGAAAAAAGAATCCTAAATTTCATATGGAATCAATAAAAGGGCCCAAATAGTCAATGCAATGCTAAGCAAAAAGAACAAATATGGAGGCATCACATTACCCAACTTCAAATTATACTACAAGGCTGTAGTTACCAAGACAGCATGGTACTGGTACAAAAGTAGACATATAGATCAATGGAAGAGAATAGAGAATCCAGAATCTCTATACGTTTTTCCATAGAGATTCTATTAAATTACAATCCCATTAACAGTGAATAAGCCTTCTCTTTTCACCACATCTGTGCCAACATCTGTTGTTTTTTGACGTTTTGATAATGGCCATTCTGACAGGTATAAGATGGTATCTCATTGTGGTTTTAATTTGCATTTCCCTGGTGATGTTGAGCGTTTTTCACATGTTTCTTGGTCATTTGTATATCTTCTTTTGAAAAATGTCTATTCACGTCTTTTGCCCACTTTTTAAATATGGTTATTTGTTTTTTTCTTGCTGACTTGTGTGAATTCTTTCTAGATATTAGATATTGGTCCTTTGTCAGATACGTAGTTTGAGAATATATTCTCTCATTCTGTAGGTTGTTTATTTACTCTGTTATTTCTTTCGCTGCACAGAAACTTTTTAGCTTAATTAAGTTCCGTTTATTTATTTTTGTTTTTCTTGTATTAATATTTGCTTTTGGAGTCTTAGTCATAAATCGTTTGCTTAGCCAATGTCCAGAAGTGTTTTTCCTAAGTTTTCTTCTAGAATGTTATGGTGTCAGGTCTTACATTTAAGTCTTTAATCCATCTCGAGTTAATTTTTGCATATGGTGACAGATAGGGATCCAGTTTCATTCTTTTGCATGTGGCTCTCCAATTTTCCCAGCATTATTTATTCAATAGGGCATCCTTTCCCCAGTGTATATTTTTGTCTGCTTCGTTGAACATCAGTTGGTTATAGGTGTATGGTTTTATTTCTGGGTACAATGTATACTATTTGGGTGACCGGTACACTAAAAGCTCTGATCACCACTATACAATTCAACCATGTAAGAATAAAAACATTTGTACTCCCTAAATATATTGAAATTATAAAAAATTTTTTTTGAAAAAATTTAAAAAGTTAGACATAAAATTACCGTATCTTTTTATTTGTTTACTGTAGGTTGAATATTGAAGAAAGAATTACCGTGTCATCCAAGAATTCCACTGCTAAATTTAGATCCCAAAATAAATGAAAACATGTACTCAAACAAGTACATGTACATGCATGTTCATAGCAGCACTATCCACAACAGCCAAAAGATGAAAACAGCCCAAATGTTCACCAATGGAAGCATGAGTAAACAAATTGCATGAATACATACAATAAAATATTATTCGGTTGGGCACGGTGGCGCGCGCCTATAGTCCCAGCTACTCAGGTGTACTATCTATGCATCAATGGAGAAAGTAGGATTTGGGATAAAAAATTGGGAATCCTCTGCTTTATGTGGCATTTAAAGCCATAGGACTGGATGAGATTTGTAAATTGTTTGTGCTTATTGGTTTAAGCTTGGAGAAACATGTGGAAGGATGCACTGGGAAAGAGAATAGAGAGAACGATCTAGGTTCAAAATCCAGATGTTAGTCTTTCGAAAGGTTACCCAGTCCAGGCTTTGGCCTGTCTGTAGAATGGGAAGAATAACATAGCTTTCTAAATGGCTCTTCATCGCCACCTCTGGGCTTAGAGACGCTGTCCTGAAGGTGGAACCTCCAAGACAGCAGCGTAGCGTCCCGAACGCTCAGGCTGAAGCCAGAGCAGCCATATTGATTACGGGAAGGGGTGGGGCGTGGACACGGCTGTCATTTTCAGTTAGGCAAAAAGCCGACTTTCGGTCACCATCTTGAGTGACAGAGGAGGCGGAGCTCCAATTGACATGTTCATTAAGGGAAGGGCTGCGAGGGCACCTCCCCAAGAGCGACGGCCCGCTACCCGCGGCGGCCAGAGGCAGGCAGTTGTAGCCCCGCCCCCGGCCTTGGGCTCCACCTCCCGGCCCCACTTCCGCCGGGCGAGCGTCTGCCGGCGTCGCTACCGCACCTCGGGCAGGCGGTTTGCCGCGTCACGGAAGATGGCGGCCGCGGCGGTGAACGGGGCGGCCGGCGTCTCGAGCTCCGGGCCCGGGGCGACCTCGAGCGCTGTCCTGCAGGCCGCGGCTGGCATGTACGAACAACTCAAGGGCGAGTGGAACCGTAAAAGCCCCAATCTTAGCAAGTGCGGGGAAGAGCTGGGCCGCCTCAAGGTAAGGGTCGGCAGGCCTAGGAAACCCGTGTTGACGGGGGCGTTACGAGGGGTCTGGACCGAACCAAGTTCCGGGCCGCAGGACGGACCGCGGTGCCGACGAGATCGAGACGGGCTGGGCCATCGTTAGGACGAAAGATTCGGAACAGGCAGAGTGAGGGCTTGGAGGGGGTCAGGAAGCGAGAGAGGCCCGGCACGAACCAAATGCGAGGGCGGGGGGAGTGATGGAAAGATTGGCGTTGGCAGGACCGAGGGAGGGAGGGGTTTAAATTTTGGTGCTTGGGGGCCTAACTGGTCAGAGTGGCAGGATGATGTTGTCAGGCTTTTTCTGATGGCAGATTCCAGACGCGACCAAGTGGGGCATGAGGACTGCACCGGGTGATGAAACAGTGGGGCCGGGATGATGGGGCGTGCGGCGGATACGTGGTTAAGACCAGGCCAAGTTAGGGTCTGCGAGAGCTGGGGCTTAGGCAGCCTGCGGGGGTGGGGATAGCCAAGCTGTGAGGGGCAGGACTGAGCCAAGAAGAAATACTCTCATAGGGCTGGTCCGATGGTAGTGGGTTATCAGAACTTATTAACATTAGTGTCACTAAAGTTGGTATTCAACCCCTCACTGCTAAATTTGACTGGCTTTTTAAAAAAATAAAAAATAAAATAAAATAAAGAGAAATACTCTCATAGATAGAGAACAAGAATATGGGGCTCAGAACGCTGCAGACCAGTGTATTTGGGGAGGGGGTTTAAATGCAGTGCGTTGGACCAAGTTGCTGAGTCTGCTAAGGAATGGTGTAGGGGCTGGACTATGGGGGGAGGTTAGCGCCCCTCCCTCCCTGATGTAGATTTGGGGGTAGCCCAGGTACCCCTTCCCCGATAGAGTGTGGGGAGAACTGGAGGTGCTGGTATCCCTACCCCTGTGATTCCATTGGGTTAGGCACCGAGTGGCTCCTTGTTTGTCCAGTGGGGCTGTTAATCATTGTAATATGAGGTAATTCTAAATGGGCACTCATCGCGTGCTCAGGCTGTGTTCTGTGCTTTATGAGGACTGAATCCTTTAATACTTAACAATGTTATGATTCCGGGATGATTAGCTCCATTTTCCAGGTGGGAAAACCAAAGCCTAGAGAAGGTAAGTAATCTGTATATGAAGTTCCATTTTCTTTCCTTCCTTCCCTCCTCTCCTCTCCCCATCAGCTGGTTCTGCTGGAGCTCAACTTCCTGCCAACCACAGGGACCAAGCTGACCAAACAGCAGCTCATTCTGGCCCGTGAGTGTCACTGGGGTTGGTGGGAAGTGATGGGCTGGGGGTTGTGGCAGGAATTCCAGCAGTGGTGGTTGAGAAGGGACTCCAGTCACCTCCTGAGAGCCCACCCTGCCACCCACAGGTGACATACTGGAGATCGGGGCCCAGTGGAGCATCCTGCGCAAGGACATCCCCTCCTTCGAGCGCTACATGGCACAACTCAAATGCTACTACTTTGATTACAAGTGAGGACGGGCCCTGCTCCTGATTGGGGGGGAGGGTGGGTACATGGCAGTTCTTTTCTCTCCGATGCTCCAGCCACTTGGCTTGTTTTCCTTCACCTGGGAACTCCTGTTCTGCTTAGTTCCGTCCCCAGAGGCTGCAGGGTCAGGGGGTTGGCCTGGAGGTCCTGAGACTGGGGTTGTATGATCCAGTCTCTGTAGGTCCCCAGTCTCCCCTCACCCATTCCCACACTACATCCTCTCTGCCCAGTGGGGCCACCATCAGTTTTCACCTTCCTGGGCCCCAGCCTTGCCCCTCTGACTCGTATCCCAGTGACAAGCAGTAGGGTCTGTGTGACACTAAAATTTGACACACACTGTTGATCTCTTGCTCAGAATCTTTCCTGCTCTCCGTGGCCCTCAGGCACAAGACCAAGTTCTTTCCTGTGGCCTCCAGTACTGTCCCACCCTGTCCCTCTGCCCATGGCCCCATCCCAGCCCTGTCTCTCCCACTGGATTACAAGTTTCCTAAAGGCAGAGCCTGGCGCTATCTTGGTCACTGCTGTTTCCCCACACTGCCTACCACAGGGCCAGGCCCAGAGCAAGGACTCGCTAGATATGTTTTGAACATAAAACTGAATGGATTAATGGCCTGCATGAATTAATGATTAAGAATTTGACCTCAGACAAATCTGGGTTTGAAACTTCTGCTATTTCCTCATCATGCAGGCTTGGGCAAAAGACCTTACTCTCTAAGTTTTCTGCTTAAAGTGTGCATGTGGGGTGGGGTGATGATCCTTAATGTAATCATAGCTGATATTTATACAGTGTTTATTTGATTAGAACACTAATCACTTTTCCTGGGTTAGATCATTTAAGTCACTTAACCCTTGTTCATTTAACCCATCTGTATGAGATGGATACCCATTTTACAGTTTGGGAAACTGAGGCTGAGTCATTTCACTGAAGTGAAGTCACTTACTTGGATCAGTATGACTTGTAAGTGACTTCTTTGTGTATTTCATCTGAAAGATCAAGATCCAATACCCCTTTAAGGATATATTAAAGGACAGTTGTTAGGGTCCCTGGAGCCTGGGGTGGAGAGTTGGTAGGTCCCTAAGCCCTTCTTACCTTGGTTCCCCCTCCCTGGTCCACAGGGAGCAGCTCCCTGAGTCAGCCTACATGCACCAACTCTTGGGCCTCAACCTCCTCTTCCTGCTGTCCCAGAACCGGGTGGCTGAGTTCCACACAGAGTTGGAGCGGCTGCCTGCCAAGGACATCCAGACCAATGTCTACATCAAGCACCCAGTGTCCCTCGAGCAAGTGAGACTGAGGATGGGGAAGGGGAGGGCCTGGCTAAAGTGGGCAGTGCAGGGATAGACTTTAGGGAGGGTTTTCTGAAGGAGTGGCCAGGGACCACCCATGTTTCAACCCATGGACTCATTCACTTGTTCATCCCGCAAATACCGAATCCCAGCTGTGCCAGGCACTGTGGCAGATTTTCAGATTGTGCAGTGAATCAAACATAAAATCCCTGATCTTGTGGTGGTGACATTCAGGTGAAGAAGCAGGCAGTAAACCAAGAGAGTGAGTAACCTAAATAGCCTGTCGGATGTTCAGTGCTGTGGAGGAAAATAGAGCAGGAAGGAGGGTGGAGAGTTGGGGCCAGGGGTGAAATTTGATCTAGGGTGGTCAGGGAAGGCCGCACGGAAAAGGTGAAATTTGACAAAGACTTGAAAAGGGTGAGAAACCGAACCATGTAGACATCCAGATAGTGGACCAGCCAGCCCAGGTATCCTCAAGCAGAAACATGCCTGCTGTTTGAGGGACAGCAAAGAAGACAGTGTTTCTGGAACAGAGTGAGCAGGGCCAGGGAAAGCCTTAGGACCTGAGGTTAGGAAGTTGTTCCCGGAGCTGGGAGGATTCGGCTGGTGGGGAGAGGATGGGAGAGAGGGTAGTTACAGCAGACAGCATGGTTTGGGCAGAGGGGTGGAGAGATGAGCCTGGGGTGAGTCCAGCTCTGTCTCCCTGTGATACAAAAAAAAAAAAGAGAAACAGACACAGGCCAAGCGTAGGCAGAGAGAGAGAGACAGAGACAGAGAGGGGTGTGTGCGTGCGTTTAAACAAACCAGGGAGGCCTGCAAGAAAGAGGGGGTGTGTGTGTGTGTGTAGGGAGGGCTTCCCGGAAGCAGGCCTCCAGGTGAAGGTGGTACCCAGTCTGCATGGGGAAAGGGGTGGCTGTATGGCAGAGTAGGGATCATAGGGGCACTAGGAGTGCAGTGAGGCCCCAGCAGGTAGGCCCTGTGCCACCTCTTCATCCCTTTTTCTTCCCCGTCTCTGGCCTCTGCAGTACCTGATGGAGGGCAGCTACAACAAGGTGTTCCTGGCCAAGGGTAACATCCCTGCTGAGAGCTACACTTTCTTCATTGACATCCTGCTTGACACTATCAGGTACGAGGCGGGCCAGGGCCCTGTGGGATTTGGAAAGAACTTGGACTTGAGTCAGCCCCAAGTTTGAATTTCATTCCAGCCACTTGTTATTTGGAATGGCCTGGGTGTGTTTCTTTCTTTCTTTTTTGAGACAGAGCTTCTCTCTGTCACCCCGTAGAGTGCAGTGGCATTGTCATAGCTCACTGCAACCTCTAACCCTGGGCTCAAGTGATCCTCCTGCCTCAGCCTCCCAAGTAGCTGGGACTACAGGTGTGCGCTACCACGCCTGGCTAATTTTTTCTATTTTTGGTAGAGACAGGGTCTGGCTCTTGCTCAGGCTGGTCTCAAACTCTTGAACTCAAGCAATCCTCCAGCTTGGCCTCCCAGAGTGCTAGGGTGACAGGCATGAGCCACTGCGCCCGGGCCCGGGCATGTTTCTTCTCTTCCTAGCACCTTGGTTCTCCTTTTCTATGAACTGGGACTGGTCCTGAGATTGCGGATGATAAAGCTCATCTCGCTCTGGGCTGTTGACGTGTTCAGCCATAGGTGTCAAACCTGAGCATGGGCTTGGCACCCAAATAGTGCTCAACAGACAGGGACTGTGCTGCCTCTGTTAGAAGTGTGCCAGCCCGCTCCCCTCCCAGATACTCATCCAGTGAATCACCTGACCTCGCCTCAGGTCACCTAAACCATGGAACCCTGTTTTCCCTGCTCTAGAATGGGGCCACCAAGTCCCATTAGCCCGGTTGGGTTGCTGTATGCACAAGTGACATGACATACACGTCCCTTGAGGAGTAAAAGGGTGTCGAAGTGGTGGCAGAGCTGGTTCACTCGGGTGGCAAAGGCAAGCCTGGAGACGTGGCAGGAGTGAGGAGGGGCAGGGAGTACCCAGGTACCCACCACTTGGCCCAAGAGAAACACGTCAGAAACGACGCGCTCCTCCACGTCACTCATTTTACCCCAGAGCTAAGCCCTTCCCCCATTGCAGTGACTCGATGCCTTGCTGTGTTCTACTTCGGTGTTGTTCATGCCGGGTGCCTCTTAATGGGTGCAAGGAACCCCCTCAGGATCTGTGAAGTGGGGTGTAGCGCCCTGGCGAAGGGGGCGTTACATGAAGAGATCCCCTCGTGCGAATCCTGAGCTGGGTTTCAGAAATCCTCGCGGCCGGGAGTGGGATTCAGAGTTTGAGCCCAGGAGTCAGCAAGATCTGGGTGTGGATCCCACCCCCGCCCCGTGGCCCTTGCTTGCTTTGCGACTCGGTCAAGTTACTCCCCCTCTGGGCAACTTGAGCCTCGATCAGTACGTGATCCAGGGCATGTCATATATCCCAGTCACCAGTCACCAGCGTATCAGTGCTCTGACCTCTGAGGGGTCAGAGCTGATACATGTCAGGCCTAGGAGGACAAGGCCTGGAAGGTTGTCTTTGCTCAGTAATGAGAAGCTTGTCGTCTTCCCCCAGGGATGAGATTGCTGGATGCATCGAGAAGGCCTATGAGAAAATCCTTTTCACTGAGGCCACCCGGATCCTCTTCTTCAACACACCCAAAAAGATGACAGACTACGCCAAAAAGGTGGCTGGGGTGCAGGCCAAGGGGCCGTGGGGCAAAATGGTGCACTCTTAACACCAGCGTGGGCAGCCTAGAGGGCGCTGGAACAAGACTTCCCAGGTTTAAATCGAGCTGGGTGACTTTAGGCAAATTGCCAAACCTCTCTGAGCTTCCGTTTCTCTACCCATAGAATGGGGCTGGAGTTTAACACATGGGATGAGCTTGGCATAGTACCCTTTGCTGGGTGGAGTTCAGAGCTCTGCACGTATTGGCTGCCATCCTTATCAAACGTGGCAGCTTTTTCTGCAAGACTTCACTTCACTTGGTCTGGGGCGTTTGAGCAGGAGTGGTGGCCCAAGAGATGCTGAGGCATGGCATGCAGTGACTCTGGTGTCCCAGGAGGCAGTAGGAGGACCAAGAAGAGCTAAGGAAAGGGTGAAACTGAGTTTGAGTGATGGTGACAGCTGACACTGATTGCTCACTTACTCCAGGCCAGACACTGTTCTCTGCACTTCAGAGGTGTTGATTCAGTGAATCCTCACAGCACACCCAAAGAAGTGTGTGATTAGGGTCCCTCCCTGTCTCAAACATGCAGAAACTGAGGCACAGAGAGGTGAAGTTACTTGCCTAGAAGTTGTTTGGGTAGAGTGGGGCTGGTGAGGAAAGAGAGCATGGCACATGTGGGTAAGTGCTGGCTCCGTGGGGTGGCGGGGAGCCTTTGTGATCACCCACGCATCTAATCCCTCCCTTCCTGCAGCGAGGGTGGGTCCTGGGTCCCAACAACTACTACAGTTTTGCCAGCCAGCAGCAGAAGCCAGAAGACACCACCATTCCCTCTACGGAACTGGCCAAACAGGTCATCGAGTATGCCCGGCAGCTGGAGATGATCGTCTGAGCCCACCGGGCGCCGGGGTGGGGCAGGGCACGCCTTATTTAAAACAGTTACAGCGCAGGGTTTCCTTCAATAAAGGTGGATTGACATTCTCCGTTCTGGGCCCTGTCTCCCCAGTTGGAGTGGCAGGGAGACAAGTTCGTATCTCTGAGGAACTTAAAGTTTGGGGGCCCTCGGCAGTCACGAGTGCCCACTGTGGGGCCCTGCAGCACTGTGGACACGTGGGAATTCTGGGCCAGCACGCCAGTCTTTTTCAGTGAAGGGGGTGAAGTGTCCCATTCTTCAAAAATGTTGGCAATGAATTAAATAATTATTAAAATGACGTGGAATGGAACACATCTGTGGGCTGCCCGTCTGCGCCCTCTGTGGATGCGAGGTGTGGGGCCTGGCATGGGCTGGCCCTGGTCCCCGCCCTTCCCCAGCCAGCTTTGTAACTTAAGACCTTCCCCATCCCCCAGCCCATGTTTCCTGTCTTGAGGTTCTTGGGAAGGTGTTTAAGGCACAGGGTCTAAATCTGGCTGAGCCCTTTGTGGGATGAGATTTTCAAGAAAGTTCCAGAGTCAGTTTTCCCAACTGTAAAATGGGAATGATCATATCTTTCCAAAGCGGTTTGTGCTGAACTCTGAGCTTAGTACCAGGTCATCTCAGAGTGGGGCGTATAGTATTAAGAAGAACGAGCCCACCCCAGCCCTGGGCCCAGCAGTCTGGATGCTGGGTGATCAGAACCTCAGTTGTTGCTGCTCTGGGTTCAGCCTTTTACTGTCCCCAGGTTGTGGTGCTTTCATGAAGACTTCTGCCCCGTTCCACCCAACCCCTTCACCCCTCAGCAGGTGACTGGCAGGCTGCTAGGATCTGTATCGGTAGTTTTATTGGCACGGAGGGGAAGGTGGAGGGTGCTGTGCAGACCACTCAGTTGGCGTGGGTGGCCTGCAAGTCGTAGTGCTCCAGCCCAGCTACTAGGGAGCCGGCCAGCTTGATGGTGGCGACCCAGGGCGGCTCACTCAGGTGGTTGGTAGGTGTTCTCAGCCTAGGGGGAGGGTAGAGTCAGCAGGGCTCGGCTGCGAGGCCAGGCCCTTACCCGTTCTAGGGCTTCACTTTCCCTATCTGAATAAAGAAGCTTCTGAAGGCCATGTCTGAATATCCCAAAGGCAGTTTAGAGCAGGGCTGTATCCACTTAATCTTAGCGGGAAAGTGGGGTCTGAGCGTTGGTGATGGTGTCCCAGCTGAGCTCCAAGAGGTAGGGAGCAGAGTCGCCCAGTGACTCTGTCCTCAGGAGCCAAGGTCAGACTCTGGTGACCAGATCAAGTGGTTCAGTGTAGCGTTAATGGGTAGCTGGAGGACAGTGTCTCCCCTGGATGTGGGGACTCTGCTGCACAAGAGCTGGGACATCAGTGCCCTCTGGTGGTCACAGCCTTGGGTCCCAGAGTCAGAAGTTGCCAAAGGTGGGAGGGGTCAGGAATCTGAGGAACTAGGTGAGCACTGCTTCTGTGTCTAGGAAAGTTGGGGGCCTACATTTCCCCCCCACCATTTGGTTCCAGAAAGATAGTTATCTCCTTCCCTCTGATCCCTGGAGAGCTTGGGACATGATCCCTCTTGGTGTCCTCAGGGACAGGGTCAAGGTAGTGTACAGGGTCAGGCCAGCTGGGACCAGCTTCCCTCCCTGTTGGCTCCAGAGAGTAGCAGAAGGCCAGGGGTCCACTTGGGGGTGTGGAAACCATAGGGCTGGGCCAAGGTGTCCCCTCTCCTGTTAGGGGCCAGTATGGGATCAAGGCTCCTCCTGGTCCTGAAAGATGGGAGCTCAGCTAGCTTTGAGATGTGGCCAAGAAGAAGGCGAAGGGTCAGGACACCAAAGGGCTGAATAAGACTCTATCCGGGAAAGTCTGGGATTCAGGATTTCCGGGGGTGTTCCCTCCCTTCCCTACTCCCAGACCTTCCCTCACCAGGCAGAAACGTTGCGTGGCAGGCGGCGATGGCCTGGCTGGTGGCGGCAGTAACACTTGCAGGGACAAGACTTAAGCACCTGGAAGGGCGGCCAGTGGCGCGCAGCGCCGGTGTTGGCTGCCCCAGCCAGAGGGGCCCCGTTGACTCCACTCCCTCTACCGCCGCTGTCAGTCATGGTAGCTGTAGCTCGTTCGCGGGGACCGTCTCCTGGCACGCCATCTTCGCGGGTCGCGCCCCGGGCCGCACGAGAACCCTTGTTTCTACGTGTGCGGGCCTTGATGGGCGCGGGCGCGGGCGGGGGCGCAGGCAGCGACGGCTCGGCAGCGGTGGGTGTTGGAGCCGGGGCTGGGGCCTGGTCGGCGGCCAAGGCGGCGGGCAGAGCGGGGGCTGGGGCGGGAGCCAGGGCTGGCTCCACGTGGCTGAGGCCTGGGGTGGGCGGGAGCGCCACCGGCAGCGGCAGCGGCGCTGGCTGGAGCACGGGCGGCTGCGGTGTGGGCGGCGGCGCGGGAGGTGGTGTGGGTGGCGGTGCGGGCGGCGGCGGCGGCGGGGGTAAATCCTGCAGGCCTGGAGGCCCGGGGCGCACGGGCTCGCCGTTGGTGGGCGCCGGGAAGATGAACATAGGCGGCGCCAGCAAGGCAGGTGCGGGCCTCCGGGGCCCGGGAGCTGAGTGCATCGGCCCTGGTGGTGACGGAGGGGAGCCCCCGGCCCCCGAGAGCGCCGCTGCGCGCCGTCGGGGCGCCCCAACGCCTCCAGCAGCCCCGTTGAAGCGAAAGTGGCGTTCAGGGCCATCGGTAGGGCTCACCCAGTCGAATTTAGGCTTCGAACCTGGGAAGGTGGCGTAGGGTGGCGGCGGTAGGACTCGGGCGTGGGACGCGGACGCCGAAGGGGTACTAGAACACCCTTCGCCGTCTCCATCTCCGCCCTCGGGTTCCTGTGCCCCGCGAGGGACCTCTCCCAAGGGTCGAGCGGCTCCAGGAGCCAGAGGCCCTTGCTTCAGGACCTCGGCATAAGAGATGGCACCGGAGGCGGCGGAGAGGCCTCCGCCTCCGCCTCCGCCGCCCCCGAGCGAGGCTTTGGCTGCCAAGGAACCTGAGGCTGCCGCAGGGGGAAAGGGAGGCCCCGACTTGAAGGTGACTTTACATAGCAGGCTCAGGCCGGACTCGGAAGCCGCAGGCCGGGCCATTTCGCCTTCGCCTGCTTGGGGAGATGCTCCTCCTTGAGCCCCGCCAGCGATCTGGCCCTCGCTGCCGTGCCCAACGTGGCTTTCTGTGGGGGTTGCGGCGGGCGTGGCCAAAGCAGGAGTGATTCTGCGGTTCAAGAGCTGCCAGTCGGTAGGTGGCGGTGGTGGCGGCTTCCGCGGCTCCAAAGTCGGCTGAGGTGGGGGTGGGACCCTCGGGATCGGGTCCTTTTCGGTTAGTTGCCGGGGCGGTGGCGGCAGCGGGCGGAGGCCTGGAGGGTCACCCTGGCCGCGATGGCTCGCCTCTAGCAGGCCGCGGATCCGGGGCACCGGAGTGCCGGTGGGTTTTCGCCACTTAGACGGCGCGGGCAACAGGGTCCCCATGGGGGGCGGGGGTGGTGTGGAGACCGCAGCCGCAGCCGCCTCCTCTGGAGGAGGCGTCACTGGCGAGGGCAGTTCTAAGGTCAGGGGCAGGGGCGAGGGTGAGGTCTGGGGCTCCGGAGGTACCAGGAGTCCCGGTGGCGCGGGGCTGCTAGGGAACCAGACACCCAGCCCTCGAGCCAGGCGCATGGCCGGGGAGCAAAGGATCACCTCGGGCTCCACCAGGGACGTCCGGCGGGAGTCGGAGGCGCGGTCCGAGGCCTGCTCTTTTCGGGAGCCCCCGCCCGCGGACGGCTCCGACTGCACGTTCCCCATTTCCGACAGAGGTCGGGGACTGTGATCAGAAAACCTTCAGCCAGTCAGTCTGCCAGGGCTGTGGGGACCCCACGAGGCTGGCTGTACTTGGTCTTACCGGTCCGGACGGGCCCCCCCCTGTTCTCCAAGATCCGCTCAGGCCCTAGTCCCTAGGCTCTCAGTGTTCACGCTTTCTTCCCCATGACCGCACACAGCCACTGTTGCGACACTTAGGTCCCAACACCTTAGTGTACTAAGGTTCTATGTCTGGACCCTTGGCTGGTTCCTCACATCACTTTGGCCACGTCCCAAGTTGCCAGGCTCCAAAACTAGTCTTGCCTGCCTTCTTGTCAGTCTCTCCGGCCACATCACTTAGTGATGGTTATGCCCAGTAGCCTACGAGGCCTACAAGAAGTTCAGGTTTCTTTCCCAGCACACCAGCCCGGCTCCAGAGCCCTAGGCCACGCCCCGCTTTCTGGTCCCGCCCCCGATTGTCGGGGTATCAGGCCTCATTCCCACCCTCATCCCACGTCCGATATGGCCCCGCCTCTGCCTAACAAATACCAGGTATTCTGGTCATACTAGTTCCTCAATCCTCTCCTCTAACCCTCTGATGCTCCCTTCTCACTCTGCCGATCTTTGGGTCCTGCCCTTAACCCAGGCAGGGTCAGATTCTCAGGCCTCACTTCTAAATTTCTTTTCCCGCTCCCGGTGTATTAGCAGGTTTCAACGCTCAGGCTCCACCCCTTTCCCTAAGCTCCGCCCTGGCTCCGCCTCCGCCCCAGGGCCCCACTCACCGACTCCTCCAGCCGACCAGAGTTCAGACCGCAGCCCCCTGGGCCCAGGGCAGGGTGGGGAACGGCCGTAGCAGAAATTAACCGAAAAGAACGGGGGTGAAGGCAAGTGGGCGAGACAGCGAGGGTGGACCCCGAGATCTAGGCCCCGCCCCCGGGCTCGAGGACCCGCCCTTCTGAGAGCCAGCTTGAGCCCGGTCCCTTACGAACCTGGATCTCCCTTTGAAATACTCTGATGATGTCTTCTTCCCCGCCCCGAGGCCTTCTAGTCCTAAACTCCGCCCCTTTAGAGCGTTCTCCTTAGCTCCTCCCCTTCAGAATGCTCCGCCCCTCTCCGTTATTCCCTCCCAAGGCCCCGCCCGTTACGAACACTGCTACGTAGCTCCTCCCTTTTGGACCTCTCATCTGCCCCGCCCCTCAGGCAATTTACTTCTAAGCTCCGCCTTTTTAAGATCCCGCAACTGCTCTTCCCAAGACCCTGTCCTTCGTCCCTCCCGCCCAGGAGGCCCATCCACCCTGGACCCGCCCCTTCCGTGACGCACGCGCTTGTCCGCGCCTTCAGCGTCTAAACCTGCTCCTCACCCGGGCCCTCCGACCCCGCCCCCTCCTGAGTGCTCCCTCCTCGCCCCACCCCTTTTCGAACCCTGCCAGGCACCCAGCCCCTCCCATTCAGAACCCAAAGCGTAGACCACCGCCTCTTTAGAATCCTGAGACCAGTCCCTGTTCCTGTCCCCTCCTCACATCATCAGGGATCAATGGCGCAGATGGGTGCAAAAGTGGGGGATCCCCTCTGGATCTTAAGAAAATGGGGGTTGGGGGGCTGTACGCTG